AAACATCAACCCAAACTGGAAAAGGGCCCAAAGTGCAGCACCAGGAAACTTAGAAGCCGCCTTGGAAGGCAGGATATAAATAGATGCAATGAATAAAGCAAATCATCTTTTTGCCTGCTGGCCTCTGGGACAAAGCCCAGAAGAGTCACCTCCCACAGACCTATCAACTCTGTGCAATGAAAAATTGTTATCATAATTTATTATTTATATGCTGCCTTTTAGGCGCTGCATTGTAGAACATCTTTAGGAAAAGGTTAATAATAATATTAATAATAATAATTTATTTCTTCCCCAGCCGCTCTGGGCGGCTTCCAACAGAAGGTTAAAAATACATTAAAACATCAGTCGTTAAAAACTTCCCTAAACAGGGCTGCTTTCACATGTCTTCTAAATGTCATATAGTTGTTTATTTCTTTGACATCTGATGGGAGGGCATTCCACAGGGCGGGCCCCACTACCGAGAAGGCCCTCCGCCGGGTTCCCTGTAACTTCGCTTCTTGCAGTGAGGAAACCGTCAGAAGGCCCTCGGCGCTGGACCTCAGTGTCCGGGTTGGACAATGCAGGTGGAGACGCTCCTTCAGGTATACAGGACCGACGCTGTTTAGGACTTTAAAGGTCAGCACCAACACTTTGAATTGTGCTCGGAAATGTACTGAGAGCCAGTGCAGATCTCTTAGGACTGGTGTTACATGGTCTCGGCAGCCACTCCAAGTCACCAGTCTAGCTGCTGCATTCTGGATTAATTGCAGTTTCCGAGTCACCTTCAAGGGCAGCTCCACATAGAGCACATTGCAGTAGTCCAAGCAGGAGATAACTAGAGCATACACCACTCTAGCGAGACAGTCTGTGGGCAGGTATGGCCTCAGCTAGCATACCAGATGGAGCTGGTAGACAGCTGCCCTGGACACAGAACTGACCTGCGCCTCCATGGACAGCTGTGAGTCCAAAATGACTCCCAGGCTGCGCATCTGGTCCTTCAGGGGCACAGTTGCCCCATTCAGGACCAGGGAGTCCCCCACCCCTGCCCACAGACTGTCCCCCAAAAACAGTACTTCTGTCTTGTCAGGATTCAACCTCAATCTGTTAACCGCCATCCATCCTCCAACCGCCTCCAGACACTCACACAGGACCTTCACCGCCTTCACTGGTTCTGATTTGAAAGAGATGTAGAACTGGGTATCCTCCGCATACTGATGAACACCCAGCCCAGACCCCCTGATGATCTCTCCCAGCGGCTTCATATAGATGTTGAAAAGTATGGGGGAAAGGACAGAACTCTGAGGCACCCCACAAGTGAGAGCCCAGGGGTCTGAACACTCATCCTCCACCACCACTTTCTGGACATGGCCCAAGAGGAAGAAGCGGAACCACTGTATAACAGTGCTCCCAGCTCCCCAAGATGGTCCAGAAAGATGTTATGGTCGATGGTATCAAAGGCCGCTGACAGATCCAGCAGAACTAGGAAACAGCTTTCACCTTTGTCCCTAACCCGCTGGAGATAATCGGCCAGTGCAACCAAGGCAGTTTCAGTCCCATGATGAGGTCTGAATCCCGACTGGAAGGGATCCAAATGGTCTGCATCCTCCAGGCATGCTCAGAGTTGTTCAGCAACCACCCGCTCAATCACCTTGCCCAAGAATGGAAGATTTGAGACTGGGCAATAGTTGGCCATATTGGCCGGGTCGAAAGATTTTTTTTAAGAAGCAGTTTAATGACCACCTCTTTCAGCAGGTCTGGGAAGGCTCCCTCACAGAGGGAAGCATTCACTGCCCCACAGAGCCCATTGCCCAGCCCTTCCTGGGTTGCTTTATTAGCCAGGATGGAGTAAACCCTACACAAATCTGAAGTGGAGTCCCTAAGGTCGCTGGATGGTGCCTTGTATGCCTCCTTTGGGCAACTCCTGCTTGACATGGGGGGAGGGAGGAGAATACCTCCTTCCCAGATCCAAGTTCAGCAGCCAACCAATGCTGTGAGTGAGAAGAACCGACCCCAAAGGGTCCCCAGAGACCCCCACTGGCATTTCCCTTGGCCTATAACAATGTGGGGATCCTCTGGCCACACCCTTCTAAAAAGGATGAGTTTATAGCACAGATTTTGCTCTCTAGCGCTGAGTTTATTCTTAATGCTTCAAGACTCATTTTGTATATTTGATGTGTTTAATATTTACTGCCAGCTGCCCAGAGAATGTTTTGGGGTTGGGTAGCCTAAAAATATACTCTAAATATATATATATGTATATCAGCTGAGACATTTGGGACGGCAAGCCACGCATATGCACACACAGAGCCTTTGCATCTGTGTAGCTAATCTGGCTACTGCAGAAGTTGAGGGAGAACTAGTCACAGGTTGGAAAGAATATGGCTAAGCCATTAATAAGGCAAATTCTTGAGGATGCGGCCTAAGTTGAAGAAGGGAGAGAAAGTGTAGGTACGGGAGAGCTGGGGAGCACCCTGCAGGTGTTGCTGGACTGCAACTCCCAGGAGTCTGCTGGGCTGCCAATGGTCAGAGATGATGAGGATGGGAGTTGGAATCCAGGGGCTTTGAGAGTCCTGCCCCTTCTCCAGCTCAGCAGGAAACAGGCAGGGAGAAGGGTAGGATAATGTCTCCTAGAGCGTAATCCAGATTGCCCTCCCAACTATTAACAGGGTCTTTCTTGTTTAAAATAAACCAATTGGTTAGGAATTTGTGCAGACACACAAAAACCCAAAACCAAGCACTCATCCATATGGCCCCTTTTATCTGGCCTCTCTCAAGATTTCAGGGAACACATTTCTAGGAAAAGAAAATCAGTGCTCAGTTTCTTTCTGACCCCACCTGGCCTTAATTACCGTATTTTTTGCACCATAACACTCACTTTTTTCCTCCTAGAAAGTAAGGGGAAATGTCTGTGCGTGTTATGGAGGGAATGCCTACGGGTGGCATGCCTACGGATTTTCCTCCTCTAAAAACTACGTGCGTGTTATGGTCGGGTGCGTGTTATAGAGCGAAAAATACAGTAGTTTCTTCTTGGACGTCGCAGCACAGTATGGCATTTGCATAACTTGAAATTATAGTGCTGCAGCTACAGCATAGAAAGGGCAAAGCAGCAGGGTGGGGGTGAAGGGCATGGATGTGTCACAGGACAGGGACTGGGGCCAAGGAAAGGCCTCAGGAGATAGCTGGAGTCCAGTCTCTGTGTTGGACACTTTAATGAGCCGCTCCTTATTACAATGTGTTCTGATTCACAACAACAGAAATAACCTCTCAATAAAAGGGATTCCAGAAAAATGAGCTGGAGGGAAACCAGCATCCAAAGTGCAAAAGTTTACTCTCCACTCCTCTTGGCCCCTCAGCCATGACCTCAAGACCCCCAGCAGCTATATTCCCTATACCAGGCATCCCACACCACAGAAAAGCTTCCTCTCCCTGGTTACAATGGTCCTGGGCCTGCAAGATCTACCAATACAAACAACACCCTCCTCCTTCTAAAAAAAAATTAAAAATCCTTAATTGTAGCCTGGATTAAAACTGCCATGTAACTATATATCAAGGTACACCCCAGACACTGAATAAAACAAAGAGAAATTAATTCAAAGCAATACGATTTGTGGCAATAATTTTATCCGTAGGTCGTTTTCTGTGCAGAATCTTTTGCTTTGGTGCAAGAGAGAGAAAGCAAAGTCACAGGGTTGGCACACGAAGAAATGAAAGGAGATCTTTATTCTCCTTCCCACTCACACCCTGTCCAAGAACTACAGAAACTCTTTGACCAAGCAAAAGACAGAAGCAAAACACTTCAGAACAGACAAAAGGAAGGACTTCTTCACATGGCACATAGTTAAACTCTGGAACTCGCTTCCACAGGAGGCAGTGACAGCCACCAAGGGCAGATGCTGAAAGAGATGGCAAAGGCCCAGGATTCTGGAACTGAAACCCAGTGACAAATCACATCCCAGGAGGTGGAACATGTCTCTCTCACTTTCCTTTTCCAAAATAAAATGGGCTCCATGTTCTTGGCCCACCCAGATGCCCCAGGGAGCTGGCAAACCAGCATCTGGAATCTGCCATCCCTGCCTGGCATCCTGCTGCACATAAATGACTTTCAGACAGCAGCACTGGCAGACCCACCACTGGGGAAAGCCTGTCCATTTGAAACTATGACTGGAAGCAAAGGCTAGCCCAAAATATGACCAAAGTCCAATGCATGGGCAGCAGGAGGCTGAGCAGGAGATGAAGCCCCTCACCCCCCCCCAAAAAAAACAACAACCCACAAGACACAGATTCCTTCCACAACTCTTTCCTCCAAGAGAAGTCCATGTTCCCAGAGGCTCTTCCACCACCTTTCCTCCACCTTTTTACTGCTTAAATGGAATACCAAGGAAAAGCTCTCTCTTCCTCCTCCCTCTCCCTCTCCGGAGCTGCAGAAGTTTCTTCTAGTCTTCTCCAGTCAGTGGATCACTCTGCAAATGCAAAACTGGTTCCTGCTGCAGAATGGAGGCACACACAGCCCAATACTGGCAAAAACACACACTTCAGAGTGCTTCCCATACTTTATACCAAGAACCCTGTGAGGTAGGCAAGTACTACACCAGTATTGTAGGGGGCCGAGGCTAGCCTAAGGCTGCTTGGCAACCCATGGCAGAGACAAGAGCTGAACCTGGGAGACCCTTGTTGGTATCTCCACCATTCTCCTACCTTGGCTACACTAGCCCTGTCCATCTTCAGCTTTAATCTGGAAATCATTGTAACCCTGAAAGGAACTGGGGGTGGCTAATGTGAGAGGAAATCTCAGAACGAGGGGCAAGAATGCATCAATCCACATGCTCTTAGCTTTGTGGAATTCTCTTCCTCTGGAAGGGAAGCAGGACCCAACACCGTTCAGTTTCCAATGTTTGTCAAAAATGTTTTTCCCACCAAGCTTTCCCAAATTGGTCACTTATATTTTTGTGCCTTTTAATTCTTGTTGGCTTCACATTTTTCATTGTTTTGAGATTTGTATTATGTTTTATATTCTATTTTTTGTACACCAGTGGAGTTTATAAATTCTGAAATAAAATAGATAAATGATAGTGCTGAAACAAACAGTTCCTCAGAGTTCTGTATTTTACATCCCTCAGCCAAGATACGGGGATGGAAGTGCACAACTGTCCGTGTACAAGCTATGTTTTTTCAATAGTCTGAGCAAAAGAACTCTGCAGTGGAATGGCAACAGGCCGTTGAGATCCTGAGGGGCTGCCCTGAGAATGGCATTGGGGGCAGCAAGCACACAACACATCCCTGCCTCCAAGAGCAAACTCAGGAAAGACTGAAGAACAGCCACTGAGCAACAGGAGGAAAGAGCCCCCGAAAGTTCGCAGAAGTACATCAAATACTTTTTAAGAAAGAATGAGGATTCAGCATGCTTAGTGGCCACCTAATTTTTAGTGCTAGTTGGAAAAGAAAACAAGGGGAGGATGGAACGGAGTACCCTGCAGGTTATCTTGGCTGGTCCCTGTTAAGAGGCGGGAATGGACTGCAACAATTTGTTGCAGGGCCCACTTAAATACCATTAGATTCCAAAAGAGATGGATGGATCTAAAAGAGATTAGACAAATTCATGAAGGACAAGGCTACTAACCATGATGGCTATACTCTGCCTCCACAGTTGGGGGCAGCAACGCTTCCAAATACCATTTTCTGGAAACCACAAGAGGGGAGAGGGCTCTTGTGCTTGAATGCTTGTGGGCTTCCCAATGAGGCATCTGGCTGGTCACTGTGAGGACAGGACACTGGACTAGATGGGCCATTGGCCACATATGGCAGGTGCTTATGGTAAAAAATGAAGCAGATAAAAATACGATTTGTTTTCCACATATTACCAACCAAGGGCAATGAAGAATTAGAAATGAATTTCCAAGTCAACTTCCAATCCTTACTTCTAAGCGAGTACCCATTAATTTATAAACCTCAGCAGCAGGACAAAGTGAGGGAGAAGAGGACGCATTCACAAATACAAGACCTAACCCAAGTTAGAGTCCAACATGCCTCCTTGACCGACATGCACTGGTTTTTATTTATTCACATATCCACAAAGACCATGAAGCACCAGCCCAGCCCCCCCACCAGCAGCATGGTGACATGGATGCCATAGATGAGCAGTTCGTTGAAGAGGCTAAAGTCCACACGCCTCCTTCCCAGCAACAGCAGGAAGATGGTGAGTTTGTACTGGAAACGGAGAAAGACCCGGATGCTGAGGTACTGGAGGCAAAACAAGACTGACAGCACCACCCACAGGATGGAGGTAAACAGGCTGCAGCTGAAGTACAGCAAGAAACGGATGAAGCCGTACATCCACCGGGACTTCAGGTAGATGTCAAAGTTGTTGTACTTGGTGCGCACCAAGTGGGTGGTCCTGACCGGCCCACATGCAGAGTGCAGGCATGTTGTGTGGGGGCCATGGAAAGAGCGGACCCGCCGCGGGATGGGGATGACAGGCATCAGGCACCACCCCACCTTCTACAGAGCCAGAGAGCAGGGATTGCATGGGAGGACCCAGGCAGCATCCATGAAGGTGAAGGTGGAGATGGAGGGGAAGACCGGCGACCCAGGAGCACAAGCACTTGCCGGGATGGAGGCTGCCTGCAGGAAGGAACAGAAGGAGAGTCAGGTTGAGAAAAAACCTGAGAGGGCAAGGAGGACCATGGGGAGGGCTGGAAGACTGGCTCCAAACCAGGGCCCATCTGCACCCATGCTGGCCAAAAGGCTGCTTCCCAGACAGCAGCCAAAAGCAGAGTCACCCAGAGCCACCTGTCACACAGTGCCAACTATAGCTTGCTCCCACAGGAGGCCAACCTGGATGAATTATAAAGACAAGACAAAGTCATGAAGGAGGACAAGGCTATCAATGGCTACTGGTCACAATGGCAATGTTCTCCCTCTGCTGTCAGAGGCAGTATGCCTCTGAGTACCAGTTGCTGGGAATTGCAAGAGGGGGAGAGCGCTGTTGCACTCAAGTTCTGCTTGCAAGTTTCTCTTTGGGGCATCTGGTTGGCCCCTATGAGAGTATGATGCTGGATTAGATGGACCACCTTTGGTCTGATTGCGCAGGCCGCTCTTATATGTAAAGTCAACCTGGCCTGGCCCATGAATGCTCCAAAACATTTCCAGATTTTAACTGATCAACTCACTCTAAGATTTTCCCAGCCAATCGCCAAGCCTGGAAAATTACTAATGGAACAAGTGCAAGAGAACAACTATTGGTGGGAAGTCTATGGAGATCTTAATACATTAGGAAGAGAATCACAGATGAACAGCTTACGCAAAATTCTCACACCATATAAGTAGGTTAAAAACTGACGGATGGTGAATCCCAAACCATTGGCTGAGTTGCTGCAAAGTCAAAAAAAAATTCAGCAACTAGACTAGAATGTCATCAATAAAATGCCAAAAAACAGTTTAGCTTTGGTAAGGAAGTAGGTTGGTTTGGATGATGGAAAGCCAGGGAGTGTATGACCAGAAAGAGCTCTATCCGGGTGATAAAAAAAGGGAAGGTGGACAGACACGCTGGTCAAGAACCCGGATGGTTTCTTCTGTAAGAGGAGAATTCTAAAAGGCCATTTTACATGACATGTTGTCACAGGCACAGGGAAAAGCCCACATACAATATACCATCACGTATGTAAAATGTACATTCATTTGCATCTGGAAGGACCCTTTCAGAGAGGCTACCTGTAACATTTCCCCTGCATCTGTCATGTTTTAAACACACAGTAGTACTTCAAGCTATGAGGCTTTTTATGAGAGGGTTTTTTTTAAGCCCATGGCTTCACTGCTACACCAGGGGATGTTTGAAGGCTTGATTTTGTGATCAATCAATCCTGCCTAACACCCCTGCAACGAATCCCACCCACTAGATCTCCAGATAGCTGATGAGAGCACAGAGGATTCATCACAGAAGACACATTTAATACTCACTATCCACACTGCAGCAATGAGTCCAGACCACTGCCTACTTGCCATGCACAGCTCCAATCTGACAATAGTGAAAGGAAAGTAACTGAAAAACGTTAACTATGAGACAAATTTGCCCAGACAAACACACAATGTTCCTAAACACTCTGACGCAACAAATACAAATACAAGATAAGAGCCCAGTCAGTGGTAGATTATGACTGCACTTCTCTCCTACAAAAGTATCCTTGCCTCCAAGGACACTGTAAAGTATCTGCATTTGACTCTTGACCCAAAAAGGGGGAAAGGAATTATTCCTCTGCTGAGCCAGGGGAACCTTCTTAGTTTATTAAAAATCACTGAAATAGCATCTTTGTTCTTAAAGCATAGGGTATCCTGTCTTCCAGATACCACAGCTGAGCACAATTTCATAAACTACTTTGCCTCCACAGCATAGCCCCAACCTGCCACTTACAATATGAAACACAGTCATCAATTTAAAATCTCTGCTTATACCTTATATGTGGAGATGAACAAGATGTGGATTTGGGGAGCTTATTATCATCATGCTCGATGACCTCTCATGAAGGTCACTAACCCTCTTTTGCCACTTGCGCACTACAGCTTCAGATCAAGAATCCAGCTCAGATTTCCCACTCATGCAAGCTGTGATTTATTCCGCACAAGTAAATCCCAGGAAGCAAATATGACCTCTACTCAAGTGGCATGTCTGAATATAAACAATTAACGCACAAATGAGTGAATCTTGTCTGCATCTTATTTCTCACTAAGCAACTTTTCTGCTATGATGTAGCAATTTCTTTCACTCAGGTGTGGGTTTATTGATAAGCAGCGCTTTTCACCTAGAGAAAAAAGTGCTGGTACTCACCATGAAGTTTTTACAGTAAATGCCACACTTTTAACCAATGCTTTTCTTCTAGGAAAAAAAGTGCTGGTACTGCATACCTTTGTGTATCCCCAGGGGGGAAAAAGCACCGTCTATTTCTACATATTTGACCAAACTGCGGGAGGCAGTGGAAGACAGGAGTGCCTGGCGTGCTCTGGTCCATGGGGTCACGAAGAGTTGGACATGACTAAATGACTAAACAACAACAACAAATTTCTACAAAGGTCTTCCATCTGAATTTACCGGTACAGTATAACATAAAAGATGTCTCTTGCTTCCCTGTCAACTATCACACATAGGAAGGTGACCAATACAGGGTCAGACCATTGACCCGTCTTGCCCACCCGTATGGACTGGCAGCAGTTCTCCAGGGCTTCAGGCAAGATTCCAGCCCTACCTGGAGGAGATGCTACCTGCAGACCATGTTCTACCACTAACCAAACCAGAGATGCTTCCTGCCACCCTCTGCAGGGCCTTCCTTAAGCCCGACATTCACACCGGCGAACAGGGCAAAGGAAGGAAACTCAGCAACAGCAGGAGCATGGCTGGTGCTCTGGTGACCCCATGGCTGGTGCGCTGGGAAGCTGTCCCACAGAGCAGCTCAGTCATCAGCAGTCGCCAGGCAGGGGCATTTTTTTGCCGCGCATGAGGCAGGCGGCCTCAATTCTTCCAGGCTGCCCAAAGGGCCGGTCATCCATTCACCCGTTTGTTTGGCTGCGTGGGGGGTGAGAGGGGCGGCGAATGGGGCGAGGCAGGCAGAAAGCGGGCGAGCCCCAGCAGATCCGCCCAGCCTACTCCGCAGGGCTGTTGTGGGGATTATCACTACGGGGAGGAGGGCAGCGGGTCCACGTGCAGCGCCCTGAACTCCCTCAAGGGGCTGAAACACCATCGCCGTCGGGACTTCCAGAAGCCCTTTGCCACTCCCAACCCTTCCAGGCATTATCGGGGCTCTCCCGCCTCACACTCACCCGCGGGGCATTCCGTGGACTCACCGGGGACCAGCGGAGGCGGCGGAGACTATTCATGCCTAGGGAGGGACGGGAGGAAGGGACGGACGGGCGGCGGCGGCACCACGACTAATCTGTCTCTCTCGTCCCCTCAGCTTTTCTGCCTTCCTTCCTTTGGGGCAGCGGCGAGGAAAGAGCCGCGCGGGCCGATGGCATCATCGCAGGGCGCCAATCAGCCGCGGCCTCCAAGGCGGAAGTGCAAACCGGGAAGCGGTTACCTAGCAACGGAGAGGAAAGTCCAAGGCCTTGCTGTGGCCTTGGGCTACATTCAATGACATGCATTAAAGTGGCTTCATATTGCTTTAAGCCAGTCGTGGCTCTGCACCTCCCCCCCCCCCCCACTAAGAAAAGAATACAGGAAAATGTAGTTTGTGTAAGGTACTGGAGATGGGTACGAGGCTCTACAGTTACAATTCCCGGAGTTCCTTGCGAAAAGGGATTGATTGCCAAACCACTCTGCAAACTGCAGCTCACAGATCCCAGGATTCATGGAGCGGGGGCGGGGAGGGGGGAGCCAGGACTCTTTAAAGTGGTCTCTCAGCGCTTTCGGTGCATAGTGTGAACATACAATTGATTTACTTTCTCCTGCCTGGAAAGGAAAAGTTGGAAAAATGAAAGGCAGGATGGGGTCTCTAGCCTTCCAGCCGTTATGCTGATGGGAGCCACTGGGGTAAACAACATCTGGAGTGGCACAGATGCTCCTCACCCTTGTAAGCTCTCCTTTTTTCACTTTTTTCTCGATTTTTGCAACTAATCCCATCGATAACAGCTCCCACACTGGGGAAATTCACTGCCCTGTGGATTGTTTAACTGTAGTAAAAGAAGCCCTTTTCTATAGGATTGGGAAATCAACCATTATTTTGTTATGCTGTTATCTGTGGCACTGGATTTTAATTTCAATCTCCCACATAAATTCAAAATAAAAAAATTCATTCCAGTAGCATATTAGAGACCAACTAAGTTAGTTATTTTCTGCCAACCTAGCAGTTCAAAAGCACGTCAAAGTGCAAGTAGATAAATAGGTACCGCTCTGGCGGGAAGGTAAACGGTGTTTCCGTGTGCTGCTACGGTTCACCAGAAGCGGCTTAGTCATGCTGGCCACATGACCTGGAAGCTGTACGCCAGCTCCCTCGGCCAATAAAGCGAGATGAGCACTGCAACCCCAGAGTCGGCCACGACTAGACCTAATGGTCAGGGGTCCCTTTACCTTTACCTTTAAGTTTGTTATTGGTATGAGTTTTTGTGTGCATGCACACTTCTTCAAACACAAAGTTTGTTATTGGTATGCACATGAAAGCTCATACCAATAATAAACTTAGTTGGTCTCTAAGGTGCTACTGGAAGGAATTTTTTTATTTTGTTTCGACTACAGCAGACCAACATGGCTACCTACCTGTAACCACATAAATTCAGTTGCTGGTAATATGTGGCTTCCCACACTGCCCGGGATATTTTGCTTGTCCTGCAAACTTTTAATAAATTGTATGCATTCCTAAAGATTTATAGCACCGCTGAAGAGCTCCAAATATTATTTTCAATATATTTGTCACTTTGTCACTAGAACAACACTGAGGAGGCAAAAACCTGGTCTTCAAAATAAATTATAAATATATGCATCTTAAAAGAGTTTATTTTGGTCATTAATAGTTGATGGGGGACCCTCCTGTGCAGATTTAAAAGTTAAATTATGCAAAATCAAAATTAAACCTTATAATAGTTTATCAAACATGCATTAAACTGTCATGTTCAAATAAATCCTCTCAATTAAATCACTTCAGATTGTGATTGCATTTACTAATTTAATCAACAGTAAGAATAAACTGGATCACCAGGAGTGATGAATTACAAGAGGGTTCAACACTAAGAGGCAGAAGGGAAAAAGCAGGTGGGAACAACTTGCAGTGAGAAATACTGGACAGCATAATGTGCAAACCTTTCCAAAAGCTGGCAGCTTAGCAGCAACAAAATCCACCCAGCTGGAATATTCATAAGAGCAGCATTTCTTAGCAAAGCAACCACAGAATAGCAGGAAAGGGGCTTCTGGACACCTGAGCCCAAGCTAGGGTGAGGTGGGAGAGGAGAGAGTGAACCTCTGATAACTCAGGATTCTGTCACCAGTTATGCCAACTCTACATCTTCAAAACAGGAACTCTAAATTTAATTGGGAGAGTAATACTTGAGAAGGGAGCATTTAACCCTTCCCTCACTGCCATGGGCCTTAGGAAAAGGCAAACATCTCATGCACACCTATTTGCCACTTGGATGTGTAGGGAGGGGGAGGTTAGAGAGGAAGAATCCCCAGGGACAACCATCAGTCTCAATGATGTTTATGTGGTTTCCCACTCCCTTTATTCTCACAACAGCCCTGTGAAGTAGGTTAGGCCAGGAGACGGTCAGTCCTACTCCAGTTGGTACAATGTGTGGGGAGGCACCAAACCAAATTACAAAACAACTGTCTAACCTGTAAAGTCAGAGGCCAAACAGAATCAGGCACAAGCAATCTCAGTCCGAAATATGATCCGGGAGCAGCAGCAGAAGACAGCAGTCCAGACACAGAGAGGATCTATTCTGAGCAAGGTCTAACAAAAGGCCCTCTTCCACCTACAGGGAGCTAGAAACTAATGGTGTTCTAGCAACTGGGATGCTCAAAATCAGAACTAATATAACCTTCCACACCCACACCTGCTCAAAATCAGGACTAATATAACCTTCCACACCCACACCTGCTTGCAGCTGCTGGTATTCTGAGAGCCCTTACTGTTGAGGAGTCCTTTATTCCTGAGTAGCATATGACTTGGGACCTCGGGTTTTATTTGCCTATGCTCCCTTATGGAACAAAGCAGAACTATTTTCAAAACAGCTTTTAAAGTTAGTGGCAGACCTACATTTTTGGGATCTTGAGGCTTTAACTGTTATGAGAGGGGCCCTTTGCAACCAGTAACAAGATCTGGGTAACCACTGTTATCTTCTTCAGTGGGGTTGTTCCACAACAGATCACTAAAAAAAAAAAGTACTATATGTCCATTAAAAAAAATTGCTGTAATTTACTGGATTATGTCACATGTCAAAGTCACCGATGTAAATAAAAAATTCTTATGTCTTACTGTTTTTTAGGCATGTGACTCAAATTGGGTCTACTAGACTTAATTTTTTTAAGCAATGTGGACTAAGGTCACTTCTGGGGCCCTTCCGGGATTAGGGGCCCAGAAGCTTGAGCTTCATTAGTTTCGTAGTATATCTTCCCCTGTTTACAGTAAGATCCATTCATTGTGCCAACCCCATAAAACCTTCCCTGGAGCTCTTTCGGAGGAATTCTTTGTTGGGCGTGCTTCTGATGTTTGGCCATTAGGAGGAGCCCTTAGCAAGAAGATAGCTCTTCCAATAGGGTTGCTAAAAGGAAAAGAATTAAATTTGCTCCTAAAAGGTGGGGATCTACCCTCGCATTGTTTTTAAATGGTGTGAAGTCATTCTTACCAACTTGTAATTACTCAAGCAATGAACACCTCAAAGTGCAGAGAAACAGGAAACAAAGATGATCAAGAAGCTAGGGAGCAATACCCTAATGGGTCTTTTTAATTTAGAAAAAAATATGCTTAAGGGGGACAAGATAAAAGTGTATGAATGATAAGGACAGAGAAGTTTTTCTCCTCTCATAACCCTGAAAATCTATGGACATCCAATGAAGCTTAATGTTGGAAAATTTAGGACAGAGGGGGCGAAGTCATTCACGCAGCACATAGTTAAACTGTGGAACTCGCTCCCACCGGAGGCAGTGATGACCATGAACCTGGATGGCTTTAAAAGAGGATTAGACAAATTCACGGAGGAAAAAGAGCTGGCAATGGCTACCAATGACCATGGCTATGATCTGCCTCCGCAGTTGGATTCTGTATTGTTTCTGAATATCAGCTGCTGGAAGCCATTGAGGGGTGCACTTGTGCTCAGGTTCTGCTGGTGGGTTTCCAGCTGAGGGCATATGAGTAGCCACTGTGAGAAGTGGATATTCGGCTAAATGAGCTATTTGTCTGATCCTGCGGGGCTCTTATTATGTTCTTATGTGTGACTTGGTTGGCAGAAGACTTCTTCCTGGTGATTGTGCCATGTGGTGATTGGAGCCTTCCCTGTGTGGCCTTGTTGGTACACAGTGTCCTTCCTCTCTGTTAGGTGGCACCGATGTGGCCAGGGATCCTGAGGAAATTGCTATTGTTTATTCCCCTCTCTTTCCACATTTGCCTGATGAGATGGAGTCCACAAAAGCTTCAGACACGGTGATTGATTTGTGAGACACTTTTGTAGTCTTTGCACAACTATTCTTGTGCTTTCTGCTTTGCTCCTGAGAGCACTAAGGACTGTGAAGATGCCACAATAAGGCAAGGGAGGCACCAGTGCCATAACACACACACACCCTTACCCCAGCAGTTGCCCAGCTCAAAATGAGAAATAATAATTATCTTTTAATATAATTTCTTCAGAAAGTAAGACTAATTACCAGCTATAATAATGCTCCCAATGTTTTTAATCAAAGCTTTTCATTAAAACTACAAGAGTGACTGCTTCAGCAACCAAACCCCTCACCTTCCCCAGGGGACTGTGGGACTCTTTGGGGTAATTTACACAGGCCAGCTCAGTTAAAGGAGTTATAATACTAGAAAACAGGTTAAAACTCGCATCAGCTTTCCAAGTATCTGGACAGGCTTATCTAAACAGGAATGTTTTTAGCAGATGACAAAAAGAGTACAGCAAAGGCAACTGCTTTGGCAGGGGGTTCCAAAGTGCATGTGCAGCTACACAAAACTATGGGAGAAGGAAAGGGGTTTTGCCAGGCGCTTGAAGGGTCCTTTTCTGCACTAGTACAGGAAGCCTCCAAGAAGTGTGTTTTTCAGGCTTTACAGACAGAGGCACATATCTGAGCTCAGACCTGATGTGTGCTCCCATTTTAAAGGGAAAGGACCTCTCCAAATAAAAGGAAGGCTGTGATTCTGAGAATCAGTCCCTGTCCATATTGCAGGTGTTTCTCCACCAGACGTTAAGAAATCAGAAAAAATAAAACTGGATTTCCAAGGAGAGACATCTGCCAAGTGGCCTTGGTGCCTCCATGCCCCTCTTTTAGTCTTGTTTGGCATACAATATGC